TTGATTTTTATCTCTTGTTTCAGTTCTATAAAATGCTTCTTGTATAGAAGTCCACATCGGCATCTTAGGGCATAAAAGTGGTCTGCATTTAGTCCAAACTCTTAATAAAGATCTTCTAATATAGTGGTTTTTAAAGTCTACATTAACTTTGACTTTATCATACCACAAATATCCGTGCCATCCAAATCTCAAATTATGACCTTCCCAATTTAATAATTTTTCATTTCTCAAGGTGATCCATTCTTTAAGCCATACTAAACAGCAAGCTACATAGTACAATTTCAAATCGGGAAGACCCAAGCCACCTCTTTCTTTCATGTCTTGTAAAACTTTATATTTTATTCTTGGTTTTTTCCCTTGCCGTATAAACTTAGAAATGTCACGTTGCCATTGTTTAAAGGGTGCTTCTGAAGTCAGTATTGGAATTGTCTGGAAAAGAGAATTTGCAGCAAGGTATTCATTTTAATCACCCAGGGCCTTTTTTTTTTAAAGGTGCTAGCAGAGTACCTGGGAAGAAACCAGATGCCCCTTCTTTCGCAGTTGGAGCACTGCTGCTGTTGCTTCCTGTGCTACCTGGAAAGGCTGATAGAAAGGGAAAGGAGTTAAGGATCAGACCTGGCAGGAAGATTGCTTAGAAGACTAGGGAGACAGGAAGTAGATGAATTCTGAAGTCATACTGGCTTGAAAATTGAATTGAAAACAAGCTAAGTTACTTTCAACTATTTGTGAAATAGCTTTATATATTTCTAAGTCACTCCAGCTTGGACTAAAAAAAAATCCTGCCACTTCTAAAAACAAAGTTTATATTTAACACAAGATAGGAAAATGGTTTTTAAGTACTGAATTTTTTTATGGAGAAATACTTTATTGTGAGGAGCTATGCATTCTGATAGCATGTTTTTCTGTAACACTTTATTCAGTTATTTAGACAAAATCCTTATTGAATGTCAGTTATACATATGTGCTCAATCAGCATAAACTTGCTTTCTGCTTCCAGAGACAATGGACCTCAAATAGCTTATGTTCGTGATTTCAAAGCAAAGGTCCAGTATTTCCGATTTTGGTGTCAGGTAAGAGATATATCATTTTGGAAATGTAATTGTGAAGCTCTTACGATCATCTCCAAAACATTTAACCATGGCTGAAATCATGCAGGCCATATTGTGATTTGTTTAGGTTAGCATTGTCTTATTGTTGTTTATAAGGCATGGTTTATGAGTTAGTGTTGCTTTTAATTCAGTCATTGTGACTTATTCCACAAATCATGGTTAAGTAAATTAGAGCTTATCATTTTCTCTGTATTTTCAGCGTAAGAAATATTTATATAATGCTTTCTGACATTATATAACTGGCACTGCAACTAGATTTCTGTGCCTTGGATTTTTTGAGGCTGACTGATGTACAGTGGGGCAAAAAAGTATTTAGTCAGCCACCAATTGTGCAAGTTCTCCCACTTAAAAAGATGAGAGAGGCCTGTAATTTTCATCATAGGTATACCTCAACTATGAGAGACAAAATGGGGA